GAAGGCGAGGCGATAGAAGCGAGGCGACGCCAAATAGCTAGGTTTTCCTTCTCGCCTCTCGGCCATGCAAACTCTCAGTGGCGATTGGGAATGTCGGCCGATGGGGAGGCTGCAGTTGGGTGGAGCTAGGGTTGCAAGTAGCGAGTCGCGAGAGAACGAAATTGGCCTTGGTCCATTGGAAGCTTGGAGCTGCCGAGTTGGGCTCAGCCCATACTTAATTTTGACCACGATCTAGACCAGATCAAAACCGTTCCAAATCGCAAGTGAAAGAGGCAAACCATAAACCAGACTAAATTGTATTCATGTTCTTATGGTCCAGACCAAACCGTATGGTATGCTCTAAACTGCAATTTGCCATAAGATTTGGTCTACATTCCAAACCCAAATAGTAGCTTGTTCTAAGGATAGACTACTAAGAATCCCTACAGGGAGTTTCATCAAAAGAAGGAGCAATCTTAAGAGAGCAAGGAACATGAGTGGATAATAGATTATCAATTCTTGTTTATTTTAACAAAATATCTTTTAATAATAAATATAAAAGGACAAAAATGTAATTTAATTTTTAAGTTAGGAAGATTAAAATAAAAGGTAGACAGACAATTAGTAATTCTTTATTCTAAGGCCTTAGTTGTGTTGATTATTGTTGGGAATCCGATCTTGGTTTTCCGGTCAAATCGGAAACCGACCAGTTTAAACTATTTTAGTTGTAACCGAAAACCGGATCCCAATCAACCCAATCCAATTTGGGTTGTAGTTAGGGATGACAATTTCGACGTGACCCGTTTTACCCGACGTGTTTGGCCTGTTTTGGGTAGGTCGGATCCGCCCCGTAGGCGAGGACATGACGAGCATGGGTACGACTCATCAACCCGACTTGCCCTGACTCGCCCCATTCTCAACCCTTTCTTGTTTACATTACATGTTATCTTAGTCAAATTACTTCGGGATTTTCTTTTATTACCTCATATTCTAGCTATAATAAAATTGTGAATAAGTAAAAAACTCTATTTCTTCAATAATTTAACTACATTTTATTATATTATGGTTTGTTTCTTGATCTTTTAATGATAATAACGAATATTTCGAATATTTTTTATATAAATTACATACCCATTGGGTCGACTTACCTCGACCCGCGCCCCGTGATAAATTACCCTACCTACCGCGAGACGGGTAAGGGTATCGAGAATTCGAGATACCCGCCCCGTACCTGTCCCATTTCCATTTCTAGTTGTAGGGTTCACATAAAAATGGGTAAATGACACATTATAAAAAATGGATAAATATCACATTTGCTCACTGAGATTATTAAATTATGTCATGTTTAGTCACTAGAAAAAATTAATATCAATTTTGGGCATTCGAATTACTAAAACATGTCACATTTAGTCACTCTTCCATTAGTTTCCGTCAAGCTCCATTAACGGAGCTGGACAAAGGCTAACAAAGAGTGACTAAATGTGAAATGTTTCAATAATTCGAGTGACATTCATAAAAAAAAAAGTAATTCGAGTAATCGGAGTTGGACGGATACTAACAAAAAAGTGACCAAAATTGATATTAATTTTTTTCAGTGACCAAACATAACATGATTTAGTAATTCCAGTGATAAAATGTGGCATTAAAACTGGCCTGGTACAATCCGGGTATAACCCGGTAAAACCGAAAAAACATTTTATAGGGCTAAATCTCACTGGCTTCAATACACTTGAATAAGCAACTTGCTCACTACCTGCTAAGAAATCGAACAAGACATAGTTTGGAAGAGATGTCCGGAATTCAACTTCAAATTTAGATTTGAAAGGTAAGAAAACAGTCCATCTGATTCACCTCTTAATCCAAGCGTTTAACATTCATCAATCATCAGCAATAGAGTAACAAATCTGAGACAGAGCTTAGGGTTTAATCAATCAATTGCGAAGACTAATCCAAAGTTATCCTCAGTCAGGCCAATTGAGAAAACTACAAGTGATATTTTCCCCCACATAAATTTGGGGATATAAAACCACTGGGTAAATTTGAGGAGCTGGCCCAGTAAGTTGGTGTCAGCAAGTGATGGCCAACTCCCTCAATTCGCATCATTCAGAAATAGAATCAAAATAGTGAGTGATCTGGGCTTCCTCAGTTCAGGTCTCCAAAAGTTTCCGCATGGGGTTTCTCGGAAGAACGAAAGTTATTGTTTTGATCATCATTGGAAGCGCCATGACACTTTGGGGGAGAAAATCTAATCAAAACTCAGAAACCAAACAACAACCGGAAACCAAAAAAAGAATAAACATTTAGGATTGGTGCGAAGGAGGCCGATGCTCAGATTCTATGGGTGTATAAAAGAGTCTGTCATGCCAATGGCATTCAGAACGAGGAATTATATTTTCTAATCACCGCAATCGACCACTCTTCCCCTTCCTTTCAGATACGCTAGAAAAATGAAAAGAAATTCGTTTGCACCAAGAAATTGAAAGAAAAGCTGGAACTGGGAGGAGGGTTTTCATGAATCCCCATGGCTGCTGAAAGAAAGACTGAAGCTTTGTGGCTGCGGTGGCAGAGCGATGAGGCGCGGCTGTTAAATAGAAGGGATGAGGGAGGAACAGAGCGGAGTATTGCTGAGGCCCTCTAGGCTCTAACCCTAACGAACTATTCGAGCGAGTTAAGGAATAGCCCGCTGGTTTGATGGATACTAGGTTCGTTACAGCCCAATACGAGATCTAACTTGGAGCTAGCTGAGGAATAATTTTAGCCCACGGGCCCATAATCTTGAGCCTGCTGAAAGTCCAAACAGTTTGCAAGGCTGGGCTGCTGGACAGTTTGATGGGGTCACTTGATTGGGAGGACGGCGGAGTATTCACAGCAAGGTACTGTTCTGTGCGAGCACCCTCTAATGGAAAAATCAAATTTAATGAGGATTTGATGCATCCCACACGTACACATCATGGGCATCCTTCTTTTCTATATTATATAGACTTAGATGTAACTATTTAGATGTAACTATTGAGAGTGAAGATATTATACATAATGTGACTATTTGGTTAACGCTGCAAGTTTGGTATTGGTATTTGGAATTATACCGAATATTGTACCGAATTTATTACTATTGATATTACCGAATACCAATTTATTTTTGGGGATTGAGATTGAGTTTTATTTTCGAGTGTTATTCGGTATTTGGGATTGGCATTGGTATAATATCGAAATACCGATAAATTAAAAATGAATGAAATATAACACAATTGTTGGTCATTACTCACTCTTTGACAACTCACAAGCCCCCATCCTAGGGGTGGGCACGTGGGTGGTTAATCCGCGGATTGATATCGATCCACCCGCAAATAACCCAACTCGCACACAGTGGGTGATTGATGTGGGTGGATTGCGGATTGTTATATTTCCCATCCGCACTTATGTGAGTGGATGGTGGGTGGATTGCGGGTCACCCGTTTGACCCGCGTCTTATTTTTACATGGAAAAATGTTGTTTCTTATAGGATCGAATATTCATCATATTTTCGAACTGCATTATAGTCTGACCATATACTTCAAAATGTGGAGAATAATGAATAATTTTGACTACTATTCTTGGTTATTGTGTTGTGCAATATCCATTGGATATTTTGGTATGCAAATTATTGTTAATATCCATTAAATATTGGGATACAAACTATAAATTATTAATTATATCAAAATCACAAATTATTGATACAATCTTACTAATTTGCTATGAATTTATTATAAATGGTAGTCAATTTTCTTAATGGTTAGTTGGAAAATTGTTTTTGTGGGTTAACCCGCGACCCAATCGCACACATCCGCCACCCACCCAACCCGCATAAGTATGTGGGTGGATTGCGAGTCACATGTATTCCAACCCGCTAGTAAGCAGGTAGATCAATTTTAGATCAAAATCCACCCAACCCGCCCATTGCCCACCCCTACCCCATCCAACCCAATTTTAGTTTTCTAATTTAAGACACTTATCTCTCACTCAATCTCTTGTTATTGTCTTAACATAAAAAAGCATACGCTCTCATTAGTCATCTCTAGCCTCCAATCCGTCGAATTAAAGATTATAAATAACAAGAAATTGAAATGCCACCATCTCCTCCCTTCTCCTTCTCTTTCTCCATGTCCTAGCTCTAGACAAACTAAAAAGCACTTGCATAATTTTTGTCCTAAAATTAGATTACATACTCTATATTATATAATTATTAATTGCAAATAGGGATTGGAATAACGACAATAACGATTGGGATATCGAAATATTTAGGGATTGAGATTGATATTGATTTTAGGGTGTAATTCAGTATTAGAAATTTCGATATTTGCTATTGGCACACCGATACCGTACCGATTTCCACCCCTAGTTGTCGTGCACGCACAGTAGACGGTAAAGTCTGGCTACCAACTATAGTCTACAACGTGAAATGAGCAATTGGTAATTCCGCGAGCTTCGGCGAATGATCTACAACTTGATCGAGGTGGAGCAGTGCTTGAGGAAGTGCGGCGGGTGAACATCTCTTTTTCATTTGTTTGTTTTATGCTCCTGATAGTACTAACAAAGTTGTCCATTGCGTGGCAAAAACGACCCTTGAATCAGTAACTCAATATTTGGTTGACTATCGCTTTTATTTTGAACAATTTGTAATATCCTACCCATTATTGAGCTGTTTATGACAAAAAAAAAAAGAGAAAGCTATGAATTCACTAGCATGGTGTGTTTTAGGCATCAGCGGATTTGGTCCAAATCGATATAATATTGGACCAGAAGCAAAGAAAATTCAGGGTCAAAATCAAATTAAAAGGATATCCATTTATTTGGTATGATTCGGTCTGATCCAAATTTAATTTCGATCTATTGTTCTTTCATATTTAAAATAATACATACGATCGAAATATATTCGATCCGATTCGACCCAAATACCAATTGGGGCTGGTGTGGATGTGATCATTGCACATCTCCGGGGTAGGCAAAAAAGGACTCAATTTAGGGGTGTTGCCCAAATCCAGATGATTATGAGTCAGGTCAGGTATATGTAATATTTAGTTTGGGCCAAATAATTAAATTAGGTTTAAATTAAGCCACAATAGATTCTGTGTCATTTTGACTATATAGAGACTGTCACTGTAGATTGTACAGAGTTTTAAAGGAAGGTCATTGGACATATAGCTGAGCCATTGGAGTTTGCTGGCGGTGTCTGCAAGTGCTCTATATCATCATCTATTGAAGAACGAGAGACTTGCCTGCTGCCTTTTGGACCTCAACTAATCAAGGTTTGTCCCAAAAAGATACATAAACCGGTGACTGATCTTTTGATTTTAGGACAACTAGCCTAGTCTGAACCTGAGAAGGCATCAAGTTTAAGATCTAAAGATGTTTAGAAGAACAACCCTTAAGCTAGAGTTGACTTGATGTATATGAGTAGATGATATGAGTGATTTTTTAATGGATGATTGTAGGTGCATCAGTGGATAAGGCTTAGTTTATTCATTATGTAACATATATCTGGTCTTGTTGTGCAGAGATATTGAAGTTTGTCGATGATTTACTTGTAAGAATTGATTCATGCTTAATCCAAGGGAGTTCCTTCAGTACTGGTGAGGTGAATAGTGTCGAAGTTGACTTGGAGGAAGTGAAACGTGTGTTAGAAAGTAGGGGTGGCTATCCGTATTTAGTTGGATGAGCGTTTTTTTTTTAACAGCCCGTCTCTTTTGGGTTGGGTTTGGATTTTAGGTTATACAAACCATAGAACCCGACCTAACCAATGTCCCAACTATTAGTATGAGTGTTTTATAAAATAAAAAAAATTTGTGTCTTATATAAGCATATTTGTGATTCACATAACCTATGCATTCTTCAGCTTAAATTTAAATATAGATTTAATATAGGCTATGATTCACGTAATCCTTTTCTTGTATACAATTTTAAGAGCATAATATGTTATGAATGTGTTAGCTTATATTCTCTTTAGCCTATTTTGGCAAATGTTTGTGAAAAAACTAGACATATATTGAAGCAAATTGCGTTTTATTAAAATTCAAATAACATTTATACATTTTGATGCTTTTCACGTTGGTTTATTTGTTTGATATTTTAATTGGTTATATAATATTTTTAGGGGTTAATTGCATGGTTGGTCACTGAAATTACAAAAAACGTTCACGTTTGGTCACTGGAAATATTTAAATCCAATCTTGGTCACTCAAATTATTTAAATGGTTCAAGTTTGGTCACTCTCTGTCCATTTCCGTTAACTCTAGCTGACGTGGCAGTCAACTTTCATAGTTGACCGTTAAATATGTGACGTGGCAATTAAAAAATTATTAAAAAAAAATCTTTTACATTTTCCACCTCATTATTACATTAATTAAAAAACAAAAAAATATATTTTGGCTTGAAGAACTCTCGCATCTCACCTTTCTAGGGGAAGCAGCAGTTTCAGCTTCTCGGCGGCGTCGATTACCAGCGTGCCTCGTTTCGCAACACCACCACCTCCCAATCCCAAGTCGAATCCCTAATTCCCCTCGTCACCAAGCGAATCGGCGCCGTAATTGAGGACCTAATCGAATTCGGGGCCGTCAATTTCGTCGTCCCCGGGGATTTCCCCAAGGGCTGGTTCCCTTCCTACCTGACCAAATTCCAGAGCTTGAATCAGAGCGATTACGACCCCACCACCGGCTGCCTCGTCTACCACAACTGGTTCTCCGCCCGCCACAACAAGTTGCTGAAGAAGGAGATCGAGAGGATAAGGAAAGTGCACCGCCACATCAGCGTCCGCTACGCCGACTATTTCTCGACGGGGATCCGGATGCACCGGAACCCGGAGAAGTACGGGATCGTTAAGGCGACGATGAACAAGGCCTGCTGCGGGGCAGGTGGGCCCTACAACTACAACCCGGCTGCGGTCTGCGGCCGGGTCGGGGCGGTGGCGTGTGGGAACCCGAAGGCGTATATAATTATAAAGTGGGACGATCATCATTACACGGAGGCGGCTAACAGAGTCATCGCCGGCACTATGTTCAAGCGTCGGTTCCAGTACCGTACTGCGTGTAAAAATCTGTTTCTTCTCCCTCATTTCCCAGAAGAAGCAGCTCTGGAATCATCTGTAGAGAGAGAGAGAGAGAAATGGCGTCTCCGTAGTAGCATCTTCTTTAGCCCATCTCCATAGGAAAGCCTGATTCTTTCTGAACCCAGAAAAAAAATTGATTCAATTGCGCTTCTTCTTCTTCTTCTTCTTCTTTTTGATTTCTTTAATCGAGATTTCCTTCCCGCCATTTCTCCCTCGGTGTGAATTCTGGACTCAATCAACAATGATCTTCTCGGTGAATCTTCCATGACTAAGCTTCGATTATTGATTGCTTTTCTCTTCTTTCCTTTTGCTGACTCTGCTTTCTTTCTTTTTTACTTTCTTGATTCCCCTTCAGTCGCTCCGCACTCACGCGTCGACGATTCTGCTCGTGATCGGCTGCTGCTCCTACACTTTCTTCCATCCGACAACGATCGAGTCAAACCGCGGCGACAGGCTCTCCCTCGAAGGAACAAACTTGCGGGGGATTCCGGCGGCCGGCGACGACGACGACCACGAAGAAGAATAGCCCGAACTTTCCTCTGACGATGAACTCGACCCTTACGAGCGATACCGCCGCAATTTAGAAGACGACCAAGGCGGCGGCGACGACGACTACGTCACTTACCCAGAATCAGATGACTACGTCTCGGATCTCGTCGGGACCGAAGAATACCGCGTCGGAGGTGGCGCGAGGAACAGGAGAGGCCGCGAGGTTCCGGTTCCCAATCGAACGCCGCAGTTGATACGTTCGGAAGAAGAAATTAGACATTAGAAATTAGAACGGTGAGATGCGAGAGTTCTTCAAGCCAAAATATTTTTTTGTTTTTTAATTAATGTAATAATGAGGTGGAAAATGTAAAAGATTTTTTTTTATTTTTAATAATTTTTTAATTGCCACGTCACATATTTAACGGTCAATTATGAAAGTTGACTGCCACGTCAGCTAGAGTTAACGGAAATGGACGGAGAGTGACCAAACTTGAACCATTTAAATAATTTGAGTGACCAAGATTGGATTTAAATATTTCCAGTGACCAAACGTGAACGTTTTTTGTAATTTCAGTGACCAACCATGCAATTAACCCAATATTTTAATGGTGTAGAATAGTTGATTTTTGTGTTGGGTTGGGTATTTACTTAAAAGTATTGCCAACCCGACCTAACCCAATTATAAACAAACCGTAGGGTTTTAATTTTGTTGAGTGAGTTTGAATTTAGTATTTTCAAAACCGTAGTACATGAGTCGAGTGATTAAAATGGCTAAACCCGGACCACCCGACCCATATACACCCCTATTAAAAAGTACGTGAATGGCATATTTTTGTTGACAAAGGTGTATTCCTTCATTCGATCTAGCTATTTCCAGCCAAAGAAGTATTCCAGTGGTCCTAGCTAGGTCTTTGATTGTAAAAGCATCATCATGAGGTAGTAATCATTAACAACTAATCAATTCATTGACCTAACACCTAATCTTCTATTTTGAATATCAACCAAAAATCCCAAATTGTAAACGTAAACCCTAAGTCTGTTAAAGTAAATCTTGAATGATTTTTGTACAAATTTATGTGTTTTCTTGTCCATCATAATACAAGTGATGATTGACATCGTTTTCACATGAATCGATTGTTCAGAATGACAAATATGAGGCGTGCACATTGGATGAAAAAAAACAAAAAACCTGCGTGCAACGAAGATAACTATCTAGTTACAAACCATTAAATTCCAATTTGAGACGGTTCATCACGTGACGAAATAACCAGTTGCAAACCCATGAGGATTCGATCAGTTCCGTCACATTGACTAACAATTTAGTTAAAGGTTGTAGTTGCTTTCCTATGGTAGACTACAACGTGCATCAATATTGTGGAAAGGTCTTACAAGCTTTTCTCAATCATGTGGTTACCGGTCTAAATAAATGAAATTCTGTATCTAGTGATTAGAAAAATATATAGTACTGGAAATTTCTGGCCGGCAGTTTTAATTGAGGAATACGGTGAGTGGTTACTATTACGAGCAATTGAATTCCAATTTGTCTGCTGATAGGGACGCCACCAATGCCTTTTTTAGTGCTGTTTTGAAACCGCTGGCTGGGCGACAGGACAGAAGGAAGCTCACAAAAGGTCATAAGTTTCAGCATCTCCTTGTGTTATATGTTTATTGAATGCTGTCAATTACTAGTACACTGTGCACATTTCGACTTGTTTGTTCCCTGCCGATCAAGTCCGTCCGCCTACTTCTTACCCGTTTCCCTAATAACCCATATTCATCTTATAAAAAAAAAACCCATATTCATGAATAACTCATAACTAATTGGTCACTCTTTATTAGTTTATTATGTGACACAAGTTGCGAGTTCAGTTCACATATATGGTGACAAAATGATCAGGTTGTAGAGTAAGAGAAGGTAAAATTAAACTCGGATACTGTATAATAGAGAATGATATAATCTAGCAGCCAGCTGCAACTTTCAATATATTGTATCTAATGTAATTCACATTTTTGTAACTTAAATTCAAATATAAAAGAGAACTATAATCTTAGTTGATTACACCTAACTCCGTTAATTGTATAGGGAGTAATTGATCATGTCACAATCCTCCCACTAGCAGACGGAAATGAGCTAACGGCCAAACCTACAGAAACTTTAATTAACTAATAATTAATTCTATGTAGAAACTAAGCCCCTATTATATCGACTTGGTCTTCCTTCTCTAACTTTCTTTTTTGTCCTCACTACCCAATTCCGTTCCATTCTAATTGATAAGACCTAATACTTTTAAATAGGGTTAATTGCAAGGATGGTCACTGGGTTTACTAAAATCGTTCATGTTTGGTCACTGCAAATATTTAATTCCATTCATGGTCACTAAGATTAGTTCAATAGTTCAAGTTTGGTCACTCTCCGTTAGTCTCCGTTAGATTTTGCTGATGTGGCAGTCAACTATTATAGTTGACCGTTAAATGAGTGACGTGGCCATTAAAAAAATAATAAAATAATAAAACTTAAATATTTATAATTTCCATATCATTTTACAACTATTAAAAAATAAAAATAAAACTTACCTCCGCCATCTACGCCACTGTGATCATGACGCTATCGTCTCCGCCTCAAAGCGAGGCTCGAAAATTTAATATTCCCTGTGGCGGTTAATGTAGAATTTTGTCCAAATCTAAACAAGTTGGGATCTTGGGAGACGGTGGTGGGGGAATCCGATTTTCGTTATCGTCGGCGGAGGGTGAGAAAACATACCGGAGAGAGTCTGACGGGATGTCGTCGAAAGGTGGGTGGGGAAGAACGGCGGGAAACGTGAGGTCGTTCGTGGGGAACTATATGGGAGGGCTTAGAGGCGGAACCAGTGTCGCTTCCTGGATTGTCGCCTGATCCATTGCCTACTATCTCTGGGTGAAGCCTTCCCACGACCTCCGCCGTCAGTAGCAGGAAAGGGTTGCTCTAGAGAAATCCAGAGATCAATCCTAAATCGCAAGGTACTGATGCCAGCTTCATTGCGTAATTCTTCTTTTTGGTGCTTTTCAGCAATTGTGATATCAATTGTCGGATAATAATTAGGTTTACTGCTTTAGTTGCAGAGTTGAGCTAGCTACCTAGTAGAATTGAATTGGGTCGAATTCCCTTTCTGGTTTTTTACTTCTTTTGCCCGTAAAGATGCAGCCTTTCTTCTCATAATGTTTCGTTCTTGTAAATTTCAGAACTTGCAGAGGTAAGTTTTTTTTTATTTTTTAATAGTTGTAAAATGAGGTGGAAATTGTAAATATTTAAATTTTATTATTTTATTATTTTTTTAATGGCCACGTCACTCATTTAACGGTCAACTATAATAGTTGACTGCCACATCAGCAAAATCTAACGGAGACTAACAGAGAGTGACCAAACTTGACCTATTGAACTAATCTTAGTGACCATGAATGGAATTAAATATTTGCAGTGACCAAACATGAACGGTTTTAGTAAACCCAGTGACCATCCTTGCAATTAACCCCTTTTAAATATCAGCAGTAAAGTAAAACAAAAGATTAATACCTTATTTTAGCACCAACTATATCAATATAATTAACTTTGATTAGTGGTTTGATAGTTAATTCGAACGGTCAATGTTCAAACTCACTGTCATGTCAGCACCAAACAAAACAAATTCAAAACACAAATTTTTTTATTATTTCATTTATCTAATTAATAAGATAAAAAATCATGATAAAAATTAAATCCAACAAATTAATTTTGGCCACCCATCGCCAGCTTATCCTCTCACCCCTTTCTAAATCGAGCAAACCAAAATTGAACCCTAATCTAGTGAAGAACAAATTGAACCCTAATGTCGGCCACCCATCCCTTTTTTTTTTGACAAAAGATAATCTTATATTGATTCAAGAGAAGAAGTTACACCCTGGAAATCAGCCAGGTCTGAAAATCAAAGAAACGACTCAGGGTCGGGTACAGAGAAAGGGCTTTCCTAGCCACCAGATGGGCTACCCTATTACTACGCCGACCTATGAACCGAATACTAAGCCCCGAATGGATATAAAAATACTGTGCAATCTCTTCAAGAACAGCACTCATCCGACTATCACTATGGTCACCTGTATTAATCTTGTCAATGATAACCTTTGCATCCCCCACAAACCTCATATCCGTGAAACCTAACCCCAGACACCAAACTACAGCCTCCCTGAGCGCAAGGAGCTCTACCAACAGAGGGTTGTCTACGCCAGGAAACTGAAATCCTCTGACCATATATGGACCCCCCCATCAGGGTAGAACAGAACCCCCCCTGCAGAATGGGATCCACACCTCGTGGCACCGTCCCACCGACAGACCGGACGAGGACGATCCTCAAAGATCTGCTGCCCAAGCTCAGTCCGGGGGGCCTGCCTGCCGCGATCTCTTGGCAATCTCACCAATTCCTCATATTGCTGGACAAACTGGCGCATCAGCACTGGGATCCCGAATTGTTTGACTTCAAAGACCACCCAATTCCGTGATCGCCATATTCTCCAGAGAATAGCTACCACCGCCATAAACATCGTGGGTTGCTTAATCAGGGCCAAGAGCCGCTTAAGAAACAGCGGAAAAGTTTGTCGAGGCAACCCCTTCCCCAGATACTCCAGGCCCGAGTAATCCCATAATGCCCGCGCTACCGGACAGTAAAGAAAGAGGTGTTCAAGCGTTTCAGAGCTATCCCAGCACACCGGGCAACGGGGATGTACCTGGACCTTACGATCGATGAGTGCTTCAGTAGTAGGGAGGACACGGGAAAGGATCTGCCAGACAAACACCTTCAGCTTAGGAGGGATATCCGCCTCCCACAGTTGAATCCAACTTTCTTTATCCATCCAGCTCACAGTCGACTTCCACCCTTCCCTCCTCTTGTCAAGCGTGACAGCCAGGTGGTACGCCGACTTGACCGTAAACACCCCATCCATCGTTGCATGCCAGATAAGTTTATCTTCAACATTTCAACGTGGAAGGGGAATAGTTTTGATGACTCTACAAGTTGGAGGATCAAACCATTGGTTAAGTTTACTGTCACACCAGCTGCCCTCCCCTGGCCGAATAAGCTCTGCTACAATCGGATCACCCCCCTCAGGTAACACCAACGGGTTATACTGGATGGGATCCAATTGCAACTGAGGGAACCAATTGGAATTAAGTATCGAGGCCGACTGGCCATTCCCAATCTGCCAGCGCAAACCCCTTTCCAACAACTGGCGCCCAAAAAGGATGCTCTGCCAACCCCAAGAAGGCCGAGAACGGGCCGTAGCATGAAGAAAAGTCCC